TCTCGCTTGCACTTTGACTCTCGCTTCGCTGACGCAACGCTCGTATACCGCGATTCGCTGGATTCGCAGTCTGACATAGGCCTCAGTGGAAAAGTGTAACCCTCATCCCAATTCAAGAGTTAATGTCTAGTGAAGGTGTTTGAAAAGATCAGATACATTGTCTTGTAAGTTATCCAAGAGAGTCAGATCCCTTTAAAACTTCCTTGTGTCAACCAGGACAGCCCAAAGGGAACACTGTATGTTGATGTCAAAATAGGCTTAAATTAGAGAAGCTGTTTCATGAAATGGATAAATTCGAAAAGACTTCCTTCTTCCACGAAAAAAGGCATTATAGTGCCCACTGTACGTACGTACGGTTAGTGAGCTCGCGTTTCCCTTTGACGCAGTCATCCGTAACTGCAGAGGCTCTTTTACCCACGATGTATTGGACATTTGTTTGTCTTACTTATGAGTGTCACTTTCACATCTTAAGAAAATGAAGAAATTTTGAACTACATTGTCCTAATTAGAAGTTCCATAGAAATACTTAAAGAATGCAAAAAAGAAGGAATGAGGCTATGAACTCACGGATTTTCGGGCGATCTCCGCACGTGGAGTTGTCATGACTTCAGCTTTGATCACAGGTGCAGGAGATGCGGCGTTGATTTGTTGCTGCGCCGCTGCCATCTTTTCAAATTCTAGAAGAAGAGCTTTGAAAGGACTTCAGTTCACGTATATTTGAGCACAACAGTGACGTCAGAAACAACAACTCAACAACATTTACTTTGCATGTCTTTTTCAGTGACATTGATCGGTGGAGGCGAAGGATCTCGATGTACCGGGAACAAATGCTCGCCGTCCAATACACTGCCGAGTGGAAGACGTCGCAGTTCGGATGATGTGAACCTGCCAAAATTAAGTATCTAAAGTGCCAAAAGATTTTGAGTGAAGCAGGTATGCTATGGATAGGCAGAGATAGCCGTGCGGACAGGAGCGCGGGTTAATTTCTGCACCATTGAGGACGGCGGATTGGATTGGTTTTACTATCATCGACAGACCTAAGTGGTAGAAACCTGACCATAAAATCCATGTCTAAAAGTATCCATATGACAAGGACGTCACAAAGAAATAACAATCAGAACAATCGAATGAGTTCTGTAGGCAGTGCACGAAGGCTACCGGGGGTGAATGACCTCCTATGCCTTTTAGAGACAGGATAGCAACAGCTGCGATAGCATGGGAGTGGGCCTTGATCACTCCATGAGAAACCCACTCGACTTCGGAGCGCAGGGTAAGCGATCACAGGGAGCACCGAAAAAAAGTAGAGGGATCATGGAGAAGGATTCACTGAAGTCAGGGCTGCGGCAAAAATGCCTTGGTTGGACGAAGTGGCGAAGGCTAACGACAAATGAATACCCCGCAACTGCTCGGGATTAACATTAC